GCTGGTTTGAGTGAAAAAATTTTACATGATTGAGCGGACAATAATTAGGGATACTATATATTTCTTATTCTCATGCCTGAGACTCGATGAAATTACCGATTTCCTTGCTGCGTAACGTAATGTGCTATCATCGTATAACTATGATTTCGCGTGTTCTCTCTCTGTCGGTTGGGTGAATAATAATTTAACGTTTAAAAGAGTATACACGATCATGTAATTATGATGTATGATGCGCGCGTTATTGCCGCTTGTCATTCATAAAATCCATTTTATATTCTGTCACATGTCATTCACAAAATTTATGTCAGCGGTGTGATATTGTATAATTAGCCGTAATTACATTATTACGCGTAATCCGCTGCATAATAGTATTAATAATATAATGCTGCAAGGTTATATTGTTAACATAAATAACGTTCCGTCGCGCGGTCTAATTATCTATGCAACGCGCCGAGCGAAATTTTTGTTCTTCGCACCGACATCGCGCACGTCCCGCAAAAAGCGCGATCGCGAAGATCGCACCCGTGACACCGGTCGGGTGCAATTTTCACGCTTCGCGCCGGCTAAATTAAAAACGTCGTGTTTGCCCCTAAATGAAGCGCACAATGACTGACGTCGCTCGTTTAAGCATGATGTTTGTTCTTGCCGGGCGTCCACTTAGACGAGATCGCTTAAACGGGCATAAAGCTACCGCGTGCGCTCGCGAAACTCGCCCCGCAGCGTAATGCGTGCTCTTTACACGCGCACGCTACTCACCGGTTATGGAAGGAAGAGGCGAAGCGAGGCGAGGCGGCGGACCGGAAGTGGGAGCAATTAACGATATAAGTGGTTCGCTGGTCTCGGCGCGCGATAAGATCAGCTAACTCGAGTCTAGCTGCTTTTCTTGCGACCGCTCGATGGGAAGATAACAAGCTCGAAAGAGGCAGGTGCCTTTTCGACACATTATACGTTCTTGCTCATCTCGATCCTCCTTTTTCCTCCTCGCTGCTCGTCGCGCTGCGCGCCACGCCGCACCGCGCCGCATCGCGCGTCCCGCTGCGCGTCCTTCCGCGGCCGCTTCTCTACGCGCGGCGATTCGCAAAATAACTTTATTTACGCGGCGAGCGTGCGCCCCAGCTTGTTTGCATTTTATCAAACGGCGTGATAATCATGCCGAGGACCGCGGCCATTTTTCGAGCGAACAGCCGGCTTTTAATATTAAGCAGGCATCCGCGTAATTGGAATCGCGTGTGGTCGTGGCGATGATCGATGCGCGCGGACACTCGATCCGATCGATCATATTTATTCATGCGCGAATTATGTAGCACGTTACAATATTCGTCTGTGCTGGCATAATTTATAGGCGTGTGATATAATCATTTATCGATGCTGTTAACATCGTTAATTTCTTTATTATGCAAGCGATGATGGACCTCTTCACGCGACTTTCGCTTAGAACAAGATTCCATTGAGCTTCGGCGTGTACAAAATTTTATAAATATGTAATACGATCTTCGCTGTTACAAACGTTTTATCGGAAAATTCGTCCAATAATTTTCATTTACGGGAAATTAAATGGAAAATATTCTTCAATTATGTATTAGCGTGTAAGAACGCATTTTCAAATCATGAAATTTTTTTCCTACAATTTTAAGCCGCATAAATACGCTTGAAAGTTCCCCTTTGTCAATTTTCTCTCACACGTAGCGCCTAAACACGAGCGATTATCAGACAATCGACGAAATTAAATCACAAAACGGTGGATGGATTGAAGGAGGGACAGGATGAAGATTCGGATGAGACACCGATGTACTTCTGTTCCGGCGATTTTCTTTTGTCCCCGCGTTTCAGGATGCAGAAGCCCGGCAAAAGCTCGATTTGACCGTGGGGTTAACCACATCCTCTTTCGCCGGACCCGTCTTTCTTTCTTCTTCGGTTTCCACCGGGCCGCTTACCTTCGGGAAGCGAGCCGCGTGGAACCTTAACGGACACTTGCAAAAAAAAAAAGGAAGACGGAGAATAATAAAACTGTGATTTCCTACCGCTTTCAGCTAATAAGCGCATCCGCTCGTCACTGCAACCTGCAATTATACAAAGTGCGCCGACTGCCGTTCCGAGAGTTCTCTCCCTTATTTATGACGTGTATATCGAGTGAGTACTGTTATAATTTTGCACTTAGCGTCACCGCCAACAATAAGCGTGATTATTTCAAGTAAAATCGTCGAGATAAAATAGTATAATAACTATCATTAACATCACACTTTCGTCTGCAACCGCTGTTTAGGGTTTTTTTTTCCACTGGACGAGTTTGTTACACGGCGTTACACTCGCGATGCAGAATCGCGATTGTATCGAAATGTTCAAAGATCGTTGCGTGGCGGAGAGGTCAGCTATTTTAAGTAATACGCCGTGTGTTTACCCACGATACACAATGCAGCTTTTACCTTTACGTTGATCAATTAACGTTTCTCATAATAAATTTCAAAGAGGAACATTTACCAAATTATAATTGACTTGTGATTTAATTACCGCGAGCTACTTAGCATGAAAGTACAGCGCGTGAAAGAATAAAAAATAGAAGTCTACGAGATGGAGCAGGCGTATTTGCAATGTGTGTGTGCGCGAATTTGCATTAATCAAAAGCAATAAGTACAATTTGCAGTCTGTTAAGTGCAATTTATAGTCTCTTAAAGGAAATAATTGCACGCCCCGGCATTCGTGATTGCGACGATGAGCCGCGTAAGCGGTAATAACTTTAGTATCGCGGTGGAAATCATACGTTAACGACGCCGACGCGATTAAGAATTTCCATAAGTTCTTTTCACGCACGTCCCACGTTTCGCGAGGCGGCGCATTGTCGAAGCGGCAGAACGTACGTCGAAATATATGTAGTTCGCATAGCACGGGAGACCGCCTCGCTCGACCGTGTCCGCCGCTGGGGAAAATCGTTAGTGCCCCGGCAGTGGCGCGGCCGACCGCTAATGGGGCCCAAATTAATTTCACGTAATTGTGGGTACGCGGTGGTGTGCGTCCCGTCCCGTCCGTCCCGGCTACCCGTTTTACCCTAATAGGAATAAAATAAGCCCTTATGTGGGGAGGCGAGAGTGCGCGCGCGAGCGCGAGCGCGCGCTCGCTCGCTGCCACATAATTGCGCCGGCTAACGGCGGAAATAAGCAAACGCGATTAAGCCCCGTGCACACTGTCACGCTCGCCGGGTTTCGCCTTCGACGACGAACGAGTTGTAAGGGTTTCGCCAAATTACACGTCGCTGAACCGCGCCGAAATTTCCGACTTAATGGGACGCGCGGGGGCGATACGTCGTCTAATGATGGTCGACCGTACCACGCGTTCTCAGTCTTCCGTGAAATTTGTCGCCGAAAATACAATTCCGGAAACGAGTACGCGGATGCTCTTTTTTTTTCTGCGGGAAACAATCGGTGTTGCGTGAGCACGCAAATATTTTAGAAAGTCCGTTCGAAGGTTGCGTAGACGTGTGCCGCGATAAAATCTAAAACGAGATTTGCGTGTAGCCGTATGAATGAGATAAAAATAACAGTTTGATGATGTGTATATTTTCTACAATGTGATTTTACACAAGGTTATTAATTGCTTTAAAATAATTCCCGTTTCACTCGAAAAGTAATTAATTCAGAAAACAACCAGAATTCCTGATTGCTTCCGTATTATGTAAAGCAATTGGTTTTATATCACGACTGTAATACAGTTCGTTAAATAAATTTTTGGACTTACCTGTGCATATAGATTCTGAATTTTATTTTCTCTGATTATGTGGAATATAAACTTTCCTGCTGTACATTTACGTTCAACGGAAATTGTAAAGCGAGGATAACGATGTGGCAAAACGATACGCGAAACTCACCGAGGCCTGGCAGAAATACACGTAACATTGTAGAAAGTAAAGTTTTAATTGCCTGGAAGTTTCTACTTCGTGGCGCAAAATCATCATCATGTCATTAATGAAATTAACTGTTATTAAAGAATATTTCGAGTAATGGCTTGTTTCGAGTTTTGTTATCGGTCGAAAGATCGGCAAAACTGTGTGAGAAGGTACCGACTCATCCAATTAAACATATCCAATTAAACATGCTAATTGATAAGCTGAAACGCGCAACAGTATAAACGGTGAACGCTGAAAAAGTCGAATAATGATATTTGTGATGTTTCGTAAAATGTAAAAAAGATTTTAAATTATATAATTACAGCGAAAGAGCGCGCTTAGAAAACGATAAGTAAAATCACTTACCGTAGAGAAACAGTTGAAAACTATTCTCGGAAATTGATTGTACACGTTTAGCTCGTCTTTCAGGGTTATAGCACTTTTACTTTTTTTTTTTTCGAATTTAAATTTCTCGAATAAAATTGGGTTGCGCAAAATAATCCGACGCGTGCAGTTTTGCTATCATCATTGCGAGTAAGTGCACTAAGTGTGCGGCCACGTTCCGAATACGTGCGTTCACTTAAATCACGGACGTTACAGTATGCATCGCCGCATGAAAATTTCCTAGGAGCCTCGGGCAGAGTACGTCTAAACGCCAATCTGACCGCCGTACATTATGCACAAGATTGCAAATCGATCGTTAAACGAAGAGACTCGATGATCCCGTGACCGATGCAATTTCAGCTTCGACAGTCGAAATGTTCCTAACCGATCGCTTTGTATTTCTCTTCGCGTGAATTAATCCGATTGCCTTCCATTATTCCTTCATGAACCGATCGTTCGGTAAACACTGTATAAATATGCTATTGCACAATTATAAATAGTCTGATCAGTGGAGAAGAGAATCTGAAATTAGAAATTTCTGAATGCGAAATCTTGGGCTCTTTCAAGCTACTGGAAAACTACAAAGCGACGCAATTCGAAGGATAAATATAAAAAATATAGAATTTTTTATGATCCGTCGACTTGAAGTCGCGAGAGCAATCATCGCGACGGAAGAAAACGCACTCGGCGTGACGATTCTGAAAGATAACACAGAACATATTAAATTCAGTATAATATATTTTCCATATAATAATTCTCGCTATACAGACATTATTTTACAAAGCATGATTCATACTAAGTACCTTTTGCTGCGTTACTTAACTACTAAAGTGCGCCGGTCGAGTTTGTCGCCGGCGGCGCATCGTGTCTCCGCATCTCTCGTTACAGCCTATACATTTATAATACTGGTATGTCCTTATCGAAATCGCGTCGCGTCGCGTCGTCGAAACATCAAAACACCGTGCTCTCGCCGGCGGAAACGAAGCAGCGCGGGGAAAAGGCGCGCGGTCCTCCCGACGCGACGTCCGATCTCTCGAAAACGCGCCTCGCGTTTCGCTACGTATATTGAAATCTGAAAAATACTTTGAAATATCTCGCGCTTCATCTCTTGGCTTGAGTCCTGCGGACTCACCCCGTCCTCCGACGAACTCGTAGCCTACGTCTCCGATTTCCCTTCGTCGTATATTTACAGCTTAATTCCATCCACATACATGGATCGCACATTGTGTGTATTTACAGAAAGAATAGCGCAGATCTACGGGTTTGCAGAATCGGCCGTGTCAAACGAACCGATCCGCCGCTACGAAGAATTCCATGGGCGAACCTTCGATTCATATAAAACTAACTTCTCGCCCACTGGTCGATTTAATCGGTCGATCGTATCGACGCGCAAATTGCCGCGATCTAATGAGCCTGTTTCTCAGATACCGAGCTCTTCGGCTTGTTAGCGCGTGATCCGTTCGTGTCAGTTGCGTTTCAGTCTCATCATTTTCGCAGAAAAATCTAGCAATTTTCCAAGCAAGCTGCGGAATGATTCTGATCTCGAGAGGATTGAGACGCTGCTTCGTGTAATTGTTTCGCGAGGAAACATATAATCGTCGTTTGACGCAAGCGTTGCACCGTCATCGTCGTTCATCGTGCGAGCCGCATATTATTGTGTCATTTTTAACGATAATCAGGACTGCTTCGTACCAATTGTATGACAAACATTCCTTTCCGCATGTTCGTCGTAATGTATTTCACTCGCAATGCTACGTCATTTCGCCCGAAGTACTGACTTATTCCCCCGCTCCGTTCATCCTTGCATCCGTTCGTAAATTACCGGTCGCCGGTGTCGTGCAATTTTCAGGACCGTCGCCGTCGCTTACATCTCATCGTCTCGTCGATATTAATTAGCCGGCCGATTCGTTCGTTCCGCCGAAAGAGCGACGGGCAAAGTGCCGGTTTCGCCTTGCCGACACGAGAACGCCGGTTATTTGAATAGTCGAGGTCCCTCCCTTCGTTCGATGCCGCCCCCCTCTTGATCCGTTCCCTTTTTTTTTTTGTCGTTCGTGACGACCGCGTGTAATTTCGTGTCATTTTAGATTTCTTCCCTCGCGGCCAGGTTCCCCCTAATGTCATATTAATTGTAGATTCGCGTTCGTCCGCGATTGGCTCGTTTCCTGGCGCGACTGTAACCGTCCTCGACGCACGAAACCGTCCGACCGAGCTGCCTTCTTTAACCAGCACGATTCCTCGGGTGGTAACGGATTATTTTCATCCGTTAATTGAATATAAACGCGATAAATTTGGAAAAAATATATTTTTGTTTCGCTCCAGCTAGCGAATATTGACTGGTTTCCTTGCAGATGTGAATCCGTTCTTTTATTCTCGACATTAGAGCCAAGAATTTAATTGAAGATCGCGAGATTTAAAAAATAAAACGCAAAACATGGGGCTTTGGCACAGCGAAATACTTATTTGTCGGTGCAGTATTGTTCGCTTGTACAAATTGACTTACAGCATTCCGCAAGAAAACCCTCAATAATCGATTGATGTCTAAAACGCATATCGCGGGGTAAAATAATTTAATTACGAATATAAAAGAAGGCAACTTTGCAATAAAATTAATCAATATATCTCTGAATTAAATAATTATCACAGTATAATTAAAGATAATTATGATGAAAATAAAACGCATAAACATAAATAATTTCACGGTGCGAATTTTAAAAGTATTGGAAAATAAATACCCTTTAAATGATCGGCCGATCGTACAGAGAAATGAGAATGAAATAATGAACGGACGACAAATGCGCAGTAATGAGTCTCCACATTTGTTCGAAGGCTAACGTTTCGGAAAGCGCCGGATTTTTACTTTCGTTCGCTCTGCACGCTGATTGCATCGACGCTGAATATATTGTTTCACGGTAACCCGCCATTCACTGAACGTTCAAATCACGAAGTTCGGTTAACCGCACGATATTTCCTGCTCACTCTCATTATCTACAAAATCCCGGATGTCCCGTGCTATGTCACTTCCTGTTCTACCTCACGAAATGAGCCGCCCGTGTATTCCGCTCGCATCTGCTTACGTCGGCTACGCGTTACGGATCTCCGCGAGATTCTTTCGGGCTGCTTTCTCCAGATTTCAAAATAATTGCGACAATACATCGGACAATTTCTCATAGTCCTTTCTTCACACTTATACGTATAACTTTTTAAACAGTCTCGTCTCACGACCACCGCGCACTCTTCTCCTCTTCGATTGTATTCGTGGTAGCTGCGTGATTTCGGGTGGCTCTTGGGTGCAAGTTCTCAAGGATATACATATACAGCTCGTGTCCTTTCAAGATTATATAAATGCTCGTGTTATCGATTGATCTACGAACCTTCCACGTGCGAATTATTCGGTGATTTATGTCTCCCGAACCTCCCGCCGTGTTTATTCTTATTTATGAATTGTTGGCGCTGAGAGAAATAGCTGCTGAAATTTGAGCGATCGGTTATCCCGTCCGGAATTGGCTGGCAATCGCTAGCTAAGTGACACTGCTCTGAATTATTCAGCGAACGAGTTACCGCGTCGGTCACTTCTTTTGAGCCCTCCGTTCAGATTTCGGGTAGCTGCTCAATTCATACAACTCAGCGTTTTCGCAAGAAGTCAGGATCACGTTTTGAGAAACGGATCCACTCGCCGCTTCATTCATCCGCTCCCAAGCGATCCTCGCGTCGTCGCAAAGACGTCCTTGCGAGGACTTTATTTTCTAATTCTCCCGCGGGACGCAGGAGAATTCGTCGTCGTTCTTCTCGTCCCCGCCGCGCGGTGTTCTCGACGCGCCGCCGGCGGCACCGGGAGTCTCCGTGTCCTAGATGTCGTGTATGCTCTCCTCGTCGCTGTCGGCCCTCACGCTCCGAGGACTGTCCTCCCTCTGCATGGGCGATCTGTCCTGGCTCTGGCTCCTGTCCCGCTGCCGCGTCCGGTTCATACTTTCCCTGCCGTCCATCACTTCCGGGCTGTCGCGGTAATAGCTGTTCATGCCCGATAGATTCGAGCCGGCCGCGAGAGTGCCGAGGGAGTTGCTCGGGCCCGCCTGGATCATCGTCGGCGGATAAGCCCGCGCGTCCTTCCTCAGAGGCGATCTGTCTCTCGAGTCCGGGCTCTTGCTTCTCTCCTGCTTCCTCGATCTCTCCATGCTCTCCCTTCCCTCCACCAGCTCCGGACTGTCCCTGTAGTAGTTGTTCATGTTCGGGAGATTGGAGGTCGCCGTGAGGCTGCCGAGTGGATTGCTAGGACCCGCCTGCATCATCGGCAACGGATACAATCTCGCCGGCTTCCTGTTCGGCGATCTGTCCCTCGACTCCGGGCTCTTGCTCCTGTCCCTCTTCCTCGAGGACTCCCGGCCGTCGGCTATCTCCGGGCCGTCCCGGTAGTAGTTGCTGAGAGACGACAGGCTGGAGCTCGCCGTTAAGGAGCCGAGGGGATTGCTCGGCCCCGCCAGGATCATCGTGGGCGGGTACAGGCGATAGGGAAGCGGTTTCTGCAGAGTCGCCGCCGCCGACGCTTGCTGATAAAAGAATCCGTTCGCAGGTAACGTGTGCGCGCCAGGATACTGCCAGTAGCGTCCTGCGGCAGGATGCGCGGGGATGGTCGCGGCGCCGCTGCCGTACAGCTGCTGAAAGGCGGCCACGGCGAAATTGTTTTCGGCCATGATCTCGAAACCCACGATCGTCTGTCGCTTCCACTTCGTCCTGCAAGCACAAAGGAGGCGGATACGTGAATAACAATGATCCGCGCGCGGGAGCTTTCGCGATTTATTCACACAGGAGAATCGATAGCCCTTGTTTTATACGAATTGAAGATTTTTTAAAATAGGAACGACGCGATGACGCGTGATTTCTGTACTGAACAAAAATACGTGTACATTGTTTATAAAAAAAAAAATCACAACGATAAAATAATTCCAGCTTCATGTGTGACATTTGCTTCTATAAAATATTAAATTCTCGAACATTTAAGACACAAACTTTCCTAAATAAATAATTCTTGCACTTGTGACGTTGCTATCGTTTATTCATCAACAATATAGCATGTGCAAAGTTTCGCTAAAGGGCTTGCTTTGAGGTGTGTCGATTTTCTTTTATGAACAGTGTGCATATACTCGACAATTTATAATATATTAATTGCAGCACAATAATTCTAATTACATATAATATAATGAAATATACATAATACATCGAATCATTTATGAGCATCAAAATTCTCAAGCCAATAATAATACACGTCCATAAGTGTTGGTCGAAAGCTACACGTCGATAATGACCGGCGATGAAAACAGCTCATCTATTCGAGATATTTATATCAGCCGAACGATCGTTATTCTCATAACATAATATCGGCAAAGTGGGATCTAGCTTCGACCTACCAATGTCAAACGGCAGGCCCGTGCAAACCGCGATACTGCGATACGAGCTTGATCGCCGGAAGCACGTGCGAGCATAGCGTAGTTCCACGGTAGTTTTCCAGATTCTAACGGCGAACGATAAGATCCGTTCCAAGTATTTCAGTTGTACACGTTCGTAGCGCGAGGTTACCGGTATAAGAGAATCGACTGGGCTTTTCGAGGCCACCACCCGAAGCAATCACGGTGCTTTCTGCAATTTCTCCCCGGGATCAGCCCCTTCCCCTCCTTCGCAATGCCCCTCCCCGCCCTCTCCTCACGTATGTAAATCTCGATCTGGGACAATTACGCTAAAACGGGGTGGCGTGCCGCCAAGTGGTTACGTTGGCCACACTACCGGGAGCTTATTATACTAACAAATAGCCCGTGGAGTTTCAGTGCCTAATCATCGCGTATCATGGCACGCACACACACACACACACACGCGCGCGCGCGCGCATACACACACGTATGCCAGCGCCGCACCTGCGAACGTAAAAGCGCCCTTAGACGCGCGCGAGACAGAGATATATCAACAGGCCGTGGTCGGAGGAGAGGAAGAGGGTTGATACCGTGTAACGGGGACGCGATGAAACACGAAGGGAGACACGGGGCAAAATTCCCTGCCGAAGACCGTCGCATTAACCGAACATTACTGCTCGTAATGCTGCAGATTATACCGCGAAAATCACGATACTCTACACAGAATCGAGGCGCGAGCTGCGCTCGATCGGCTAACGCTATATAATAACACTATATGCAATGGAAAAGATTAGTCTACATAAAATCTTTGAATGGCGTGCATGCAGCGCATGCATTTTACTTGAATACAAAGAAAGGAAAGTATTGTGTGTAACAGAAAACGGAGTGGAAAATGAAACAGGTAGAACACGAAGAGAAAAATGTGTTCGATTATGCCAGAGATTATAAAATTATTAATTGAGAGTAATTTTGTAGATCTAATCTGCGAAATTAAATGTTGAGGAAAAATTTGAATTTGAATTGAAATAAAATTAAAGCAAGAGATATACACGAGATATCAAAAATTATGTTTCATCTGTTTATATGTATTCGTAATTAGCGGTAGAAAAATTTCACATTTCTAAAGAAGAAGAGACACGCTATATTATTCTTTATATTTAGAAATAAACTAAAGAAAGGACGCGTAAGAATTGAAAGAAATATTACGAACGTTGCATGAACGATCGAACCCGCAACCTTTGTGTAATATCGAAAACGTTGACTTTTTAATAAACACGATACGAAAGCGCGCGCTCACGCGATTAGAGGAACTCGCCCTTCACAAGAGAAATATATTAAAGCACCGCTTAATACGCTCGAGTGGCTTAATACGAAATAAGGCGGATAAGACAGAGAAAAATGTACGTTAAGAGAAAACGAGTGTGAAGGGCTATTATATTACATGAACCAACCTGCCATAACGTTCATGAATAATATCAAGAAAATTACAACCCTTACGTGGCAGCGAGGCGTGAATTACATCCGACGTTCTTGCTCGATAAGTGCAAGTAGTTTTTGCCACCCCCGCCACTGCGTTGCGCTTCGAAAAAAAAATCTACCTATATATATATATATGCTTCTCTTATCGTTTCGCGTAACTCATGACTAATTCAGCCGTAATTATGATATACAAGTGCGCTATCGCGTGAACATCAATAAAGATTTTTCGAACATTAGCGAGCGGCTTCCGCTGGGCAACTGCGAGAGATACTTTAATTCGGATCAATAAATATAAGGCTGTGAAGTTGAATGACTGCACAACCGTTTCAGTGTTCGTGAATCTGAAAAAAAAAGACTCGATTGAAGTACACTTGCACGAACAATTTCCACAAAATTATTAGTGATTCTACTAATATTGGCATCTCTGAATCCGTTACAGTCTTTGTCGACGAGCCCGTGCATCATTCTCGGGATCTTCGAGAATCGCTTTTATTCGCGACGATAAATCAAACCGTGCTCCCAACTTTGTCTCGATAAAAATTCGACGAATTGCGCCGACGAAAATTCAGGCGATAATTAACGAGCGCCGCCGCTGTGTACATTTGTTACACTTTTTTTTTGAGGGGGCGAGGGGGGAGAGTTAAAATTGCAGTCGCGATGAAAAAAAGGGTTGTACCTTCGAAATGCGGTCGCGAATGTAACGGGGCAATAGTCGCAGCGGGAGGGTGGAGAGGAGTGCACTTGGTGGTCGGAGTAATTAATAATCAAGAGATCCGCGCCTGGCAAGGGACAAAGCGGCTCTAACGGATATGCAGCTCGCACGGAAAATTCGACAATTAATATATTTCGTGGGGTGCGAGCCCTCCCCTTCCTCTC